GGATAAGGCAGCAGGTACGTCTTGGATTGCTCACTTGGAGATACAAGAGGTTTGAACTAAAGAACTACTGACTACGACGAGCTACCTATATACACATATTGAAACTGAGATCGAAACTGAGTATGAACTAACTAACCTATCAGAATAATTAAAGGTATCGTACGATTCTATATATAACTATGATGTCATAACATGTGCCGCAGCCGCAGTAAGACTCTGGAACATTCCAAGAGTGTCGCGAGGCATGACGTCAACATCTTCGGCATTGTCCGATTGATCACGTGACTCTGGTAATTCTACAATAGACGCAATAATAGGAACTTCTTCAACAGTAAACATATTCTTAGGAGCAGGCGCTGTGACTGGGCGCTTAAAAGACTTAGAATTAAGGAACGAATAATGGTTTGTATTTGGAACTCGTGACACATGCGCTACTTTCAGCTGCCACAGACAAGGGCGGACACCGAATTTCTCCTGGGTCTTTAGATAGATTTCAGATAATGCAGGAGTCTCACGCAGATTAGGAGCTGTCATTTGTATAACAACGGGTGTAACAATAGCCGGGGATAAAAAATACATATCATATTCGAAATTTTGTAACCCTACGCTAGGTGCAAACTCATATTTTCGAAGTTTCACGGTCACCGTCACTGTGGCTGACCTTTGTTTACAAATGTTATCTTCCAGCCCCCGGTGAGAGTGTGAGGGGGAATAAGGTTGTGCTGGGTTTGAATTTTTCTTGTATCATGTGACTTATGAAACAGTACCGACAATATTAATGCCATCAGATATCGCCCCTCCACACTCGAACCGTGGGGCTGGGAAGGAGCCTGGGTCAGCACGTGAAATTAAACGACTATTCAGCCGCTCCTTTTCCATTCCACTCTCTTTAAAATCATAATTACTCTAGCAGTGCGACCATGCACCGCCGAAAGTCCAGCAAGGAAGACGTGGACGATGGTGACACGTTTGTGCTCATACCAGACAATGAGCCAACAACGGCGCCTAGCTACATTGACAGTACAGCAGCGCCTGCTAGTCTTCGACAACCGCAGCTTGGTCCAGGTATACCAGCACATCAACCAACAGGTGGACGTCCGCCTAGCATTTTTTTCAAATTCACTGCCTAGCTCGCCCTTCCGTGCGTCTCATGGTCGCGGTATAAAGCATATCTTTGAGTCTGTTCATGCCACCCGTGCTACCTCCACTCGCCAACACGTTCCATGTCCCACTTCATCCGTTTGAACCGGGTCAGCTTGACAACCCCCCAGAAGGACTCAGAGGATATGGACGAAGACTGCCTCCGACGTAGCGTTGTCCTGAACATGCGCATCATGTCCAGAGCGTTGTAAAGGTCACTTCCTTGGAATGATCTTGCATTGCAGATGGGCCTTGCAAGGTACCTATGGAATCTTCCAGGAATTCTGAGTCACATTGTACTGAAGGCGCTACACCACCGCGCCCCCAACATCGAAACGTTTCGGATGGCCGGGTTTCTGATCAATGAAGTTCCTGTATATGTTACTTTTATTTTTATACATAATCAGTGTTTTTTCTATTCATTTTGGCTCGCCATCTCCACGCCATCCGTCCATTTTTTAGAGAAAATCTAATTTAATCAAGTTGTCATGCCTCCTTGGATACAGAATCACCTCTCTAAGGCTCTCTTAGGTTCTCTGGTCGAAGGTTGAGATCAAGCTTGTGGATCTTGTAAAGCGAAGAACGTAGCTACTGGGCAGGTAGGAAAATATGTAACGTTTCTTTTGTATTTCGATTTTGCAGTTGTTAGAGACAGTAATTATTATATACGGGAAATAAGGTGTTGGTGGATGGGAGCACGGGGCAGCCGTCGATGGTGAGGCCTTGAGGCCTGTGTCGCAAAAGAACGATGAGATCGAAAAATCCGCCAGCAAGTTCCAGTAGTTCAGTAGATTTTGATAACATTCTTCGCACCTGAGTCTTTCCAAAGACACAATTTTCACTTGCTGAGCATTGATCCATGGGTAATAGACGGACGCTGCACGCCGGGTCAAGTCCAAATGTAATTATCTCCTCGTTGATTGGGAACGTTGCTACCTACTCATCAGTCATCCGTCTCACCAACTGCAGCGTACCAAACAGCCCTATTTCGCTACCGTCCAGGTGATGAGCAAGTTCCAAGACTTGAGTAGAGGTTTATTCGATTAGTCTCATGCCACGCCTGCTGTGATTGCGTCGTTCATAGCTGTTGGGTGTACCTAAGTCCATCGTCGACCACACAACTGCATCTGAATATAATTAGATAAGTACGAAGTGTATTACAAGTGCCGTGATCAGGAACTATAAATGCGGCACCAAACTAGTCCACAACACCGTTTGGTATGCGTCATGAGGAAGATCACGTAAAGTGGTGAACATCAGTACCAAGAGGACACCACGAGCTGTGATGTACAACATGATATATGGTACAGAGCAGGATAAACCATGTAAGTGACGCATCCAGAGCTGCAAGGAGCGGTGCCGTGAGTAAACCAAGCCAGGGCGTGCAAGTTATAGCGACGGCACTCATGCGCCATAGCACCCGTTCCTGGTATGTTGGGAAAGCAAAAAACCAAGCCATACAATGGATGCCGCCAAAAATAGTCGCCATAAGCACTCCAGCGAGCAAAAGAACATGTTTGTGCAGTTGTTCGAGTTCGATGCTACCATCAAACGTTGGAACTTGGAGCTTTCGAGATGTGGGAATACCGGGAAAGCCTATCAGTTCTAGAATTGGGCGCAAGACTGGAGCCAAGATCCCAAACTGAGCGATATCATCTTCTTCACTGACACTGAGTTATACATAGTAATCAGTAGCGGTCTACTTGTTGAAGCGCATACATACCCAATGTGATACTCTGGCGTCATGATTGGCTTCGACTTGGTTGACTTCCAGTACACTGGATGTGGACATTGCACATTGAGAGGCTTGTCCCACCACGCAGCATAAGTTAGGAAATTGAGAACCGCAAAAGCGAGTGTGCCCACTTCGAGCTGGGTGGTTTCTAGGCGATAGATGGCGCGGGTTATGAGCTGCATAACAAACCAGGCTACTTGAAGGATGACCAATCCTTTTGATATCGCATTGCCTTTGCTCCTATCGTGGATCTGGTCTGCCGTTAGGATAGGGACGTCGATACACCTCTGACGTATTAGTGTGAGAATGTGATCAGGTTGTAGTGTACGGCTTGCTGTACGGTGGGGTTTCCCATTCACATAAAGCATGAAACCACCCATCAACACAAAGAAGCTGTGCGTCTGAGTCCACGTGAAATCTAAGGATGCACATGAGCCAACGTTTAGGTGAGCACGAATCAGGCTTGCCTTCCAAGCCAGACTCGGATTTCCCCGTCTTAATCCACCGCACAGCCCACTTCACAGGAGCACAAAGGACACGCCAAAGAGACATCAGCACAGATAATATGCCTTTAGCGAGCAGGCGAGAGAGGCAAACGAAAGCCAAGAGAATGTCTTGGAGAAGGAAGCGATTTTCAGTTCCGGGTGCTACAACAGACTCCTTTACTAAGGACGTGTATAGTGAGTTGTGAGATAGAGAGTTTTCAAATGCCCAACTCACCTTCAGACTCTGGACGAACTCTTGGATATTCCAATTCCTTGAACTGTCTTGTAACTTTATCAGCGCTGAACCACTGTCGCATAGCCCAGGCGACGATCAATTCAGGAGCTATTAATGCCATTATCACCATGCGAAGTTGTCGCCATATGTCATGAAGGTGGGCGCTGTGCTTAGGACTCGGAATATTGGGGTGGATGGCAGTGTAGACGCATGCAAAAAGAGTGAGAACGGAGCTAGAAATGATGCTCCATAGAGTTCTTGTCGTGAATGACGGTGCTTTAAAATTGTCGCTAGTAGTAGCATTTGTTGTATCTGTTGTAGGTGCGGCTTGGGTCATTCCAACGAGGAGGATGCAGAGAAGTACTAGCAGGCGCATGATTAGATGGGCGTATCATATGCATCCTGTTCACTATTTTATTTCACTGGCGAGCGTTAATACAACGAGGGTAGACTGAGAATAGGTAGGCTGGTCTTATCTCTCGAGCGTTCCGACGTTCATGAAAACAAGATACTCTTCCCAAGATTTGGGAGCCAAAGTACTTCCTGACAGTGAGAATGGGAACGAGACTCCGGGCAAACTAAATGTGTATATGTGAGCGTCTGTTCTAATCCCGTTTGACAGCGATGACTTGAAACAGTTGTCCCAATCCGAAAGCTTGGTGACGACATGCGTACCTTCTGATGTCTGCAATCCATCAACTGTACCCTATTGTAGGTACAGTTTGGACTATCTCAACAACGCTGAGAGGAAGATCAAGGAAGTAGTGAGCGCATCATTGTGATGTATCACGGTATGTTCCGAAGGCTATTTGTAATTTGCTACCAAGCGCCATCTCAACTTGAAGGCGCCCAGTGCAACGAATCACAATGATCAGCCGATGTTTCACTATTCCAATCGTAGGCTTCTATCTGCTGCTACGATTTGCAATCATTGCAACCCGGCGTTGATATAGATACCCAACCCGAAGTCAGCGTCTAGATTGTGGGCAATTGGTATTGCAGGCCGGGGCCGTTTCCATTTAATATCTACTGGGTACCACAGCTGAAGCGCTGACGCTCATTAACCTCTGTATAAATTCACAGTAGCTCAGAGTTTCCCTAAATCAAATCAGTATGGCTAATACTTTTCACGCCTCAACGGTTCCCTGTCCTCTCAACATCTCTGGTACTCAATTATTGTTATTAGGTTAAAGTAGTATCATCAACTCTGCTGAATATATCCAATATAGGTATTACCGTCGATTTCAAGCAGTCAAAAATGGATATAAAGTCTGCTAGAGTGTGCATGGGCGATTTAAGTGTGCCGCAGAGTGTGCCACTGATTGGATGTAAAAGAAAAAAGAGATTGCGATGGACATTTTCTCCACCCATGTAAGTACTCGACCCCAACACATGTTCTCATCTAAGTTACTATTGTGCTTTTGCTCTAGGGTGCTTTCTTACGGGGATACGTTCTCCTTACATATGGATTGCCTTGACAAGGCGTTATGGTATAGTAGGAAGACCGAAGATTTTCCTTTGAACCCAGATGAGATCTTCCATGCGTATGGTACAAGCCAAGGACAAGGTGGAGCCAGAATCATCGCATTCTTACCTTTGTCACTCACGAACTCAACCACACATGCGTAGACTACACCACGCATCATCACAACATCAGAATCGACGTCCAGTTTTCCAGGAATACAACAACTATTCCTCGGTAAGTCAGGATGATCGTCAAGTGTCATTCTTGAGATTGACACTCCAAAGGTTCCGAATTCTGGTGTTAGGAGAGGTATCTGGCTTTCTCCGATCTCAGGCTAGTGCTGATGCCGTGCTTTTAACAGACTGGCGTCGGTAAGTCATCATTGATCAGCCGCGTATTTGGAGTGGAAGAAATGGTGGGATGCGACGCTTCAACAAGCACAGCTATTCACACTGTCAATAGATCGATTTGCCTGGGGCCAGCATTGATCATGAATTCACCTCACCTCAAAACGACAAGTTTGTTCTCCACGGTAGCAAAGGTTTTGGACTCAAAGACAACCTCGTAAAAATCCGAGATTTCATTGACCATCGGAGGAACATGTCCCCAGAACATCAGTTGCATGCTGTTTGGTAGGTATTCTATCTCGACCATTCGATTATGGTGGACTGACCAAATATACGGAAGGCTCTGCCTTGAGACACCCCGTACAGGCGAACGTTTTATAGACAAGAGAATGGAGGAATTTCTGACATTGAAACATAGAGGAATACTGGGAAACGGTGAGTGAAGCGGTTACTATCTCTCTCCTACGTTGGAGCTCACACTTTGTCAAAGTTCCCGTCATTGTCGTTCTTACTAAATACGATAGGTTCATTGATCACATACAGTCAACTCTAGATAAAACCTGCCTCAAAGAATTGAGCAATGAAGCCATCAAGGAACTCGCAAAGAAGAACGCAGAAGCTGAGCTGCAGAATATCTGCATCAGACCTCTAGGGAAATTTGCAGGGTTTAATATTCCCCACGCTGCGATCTCCTGTGTGTACCAACACTTCATCAAGTCCATGCGTGCCTCTGAAGTGCAACATTGCAGCCAACGAAGATTATAAGAAGACACTCACCCTCCTGATTCGGATAACTGAAAACTGTGTCACTGAGCGTTCTGCGTCCAAGGCTGCGGTGATGACTTCCATCCGAGTCGCTCAACGAGTGGATCCTGAACTCAAAATAAAGGCATCATTCGAGTGAGTCTTGCTTGCTCCATTCTTATCTCGTGATTTACGTAGTGTCAGGATTGCCAAGAAAAGTCTGTCCCAGTTTCGCGTTAATAATTACTGAATACAATCTAATTCTCCTTGTCTTGCAGGATATCGGAAGACATTTTCATGTTGTTGCGCAGTATTCAAGAAGCACAAGATGTGGAATTTTCTACATGCGCTTCATACTGACATCATCGATGGGTGGAACTTCTATGACCTTCATCATGTAATGGCCATCTTATTTGTCATCTTCGCATCCGCCCTAACGTGATTTGCGCATAGAACTTGCACAGCCAAAAGTTCAGGCAATCGATATCAAAAATGGTCGAAGTTGAACCTACCAAAGGATATCGACACTTTTTCGGCCACGCGCCACTGATTCAGCACTTCATGTCCTACATCGTCAACTTAACGCTTGTGTCGCAGACACTTTATTCTGTGTCAAGAGGCCAGGAAATCTCCCACAGTACCATCAAGCTCGCTGTCTCTTCCTACCTTGCCTCCCCAATGAGAGCAGAGGCTCGTACCTGGATTCAGGCCTGTGATAGGCAATTGACCATCCTGGATAACGTAGATCGGGATAAAATCGTTGAGGTGGTGCAATCTTATAGCACCAATGCGACACAAAGCTTTGAGCTTCAACCCGAACTTCTGGGTCAGAGTTCCAGTATTAATATTCCCGATGCTGGAATTCCCACTACCAGTATTTTCAGTCCCGAAATTCACGCTACCAGAATTCACCGATATACCAGAGAGTCTCCCAGAATTACCATAGAGGCTCCCAGAATTCAACGACCAGAATTCTCGCTACTGCCACTGCATGAATTCACACCCCCGAGGCCAGAAATCCTGCTACTGCCACCGCATGCATCCAGACGCCCGAGGCCAGAAATCCTGCCACCGCCACCGCATGCATTCAAACGCCCGAGGCCGGAAATCCTGCTACCGCCACCGCACGAATTCACACTCCCGATGCCAGAAATCCTGCTACCGCCACAGCATGACTTCAGACGCCCGAGGCCAGAAATCCTACTACCGCCACCACATGAACCCACACGCCCGATGTCAGAAATCCTGCTATCACCACGCCCGATACTAAAATTCCCAGAATTCTCAATACCAGAATTCCCGCTACCGAGTGGAGTTTCCAGTGCCGAAATTCCCAATACCAGAATTCCCGCTACCAGAATTTCTAGAGAGCCCAGAGATCGCAGAAGTTCTACTCCTGAGTGGGAATACGTTAGACCAAGGAGAAGAGATGCGCGTAACATCAGCGAATCCCCTGACATGGTAGAGCGGGTGGACGTTAGACCAAGGAGAAGAGGTGCACATAGCATCAGCGAATTCCCTGACATGGTGGAGCAGGTGGACGTTAACAACGCCACTCAAGCATAGTTGTATTTCCATCTCCGATTGCGCTACTTATATCATGTTCCGACAATGCTCGCGCCACGCATCGACAAGCCCAAACCTGCCTGCTGCCCTTTCATTTCTTCTTCTCTCAATTTTTCGTGACCCTAGGCTATCTTCGGCTACTTAGTAACTCGGTGGGCTCTGAGGGCCTAGATCCTTGTGCGCATCCACATGCAATGAAGACGGGTCCAGTGAGGAAGTTGGCCATGGGTAGGGAACATCCGAAAATGCTTCTGTGCTGCCCTGTTAAGTTTATTCATGCAGCAAGTTAGTCTCGTCGTGTTTCTAGCCCATCTGAGCAGGGAACTATCTGCTCATCCACCCTGTTGTGGATTGGACCACCTTGCATATTGGTTTTGTATCTTATCTCTTCCATCGCTCTTGCCTGCACCTTCGCTCATGTGGATGCTTCTATGTGCCTTACTCTTCCCAAGATGTAGGAGTTAAAGTACTTCAGAATGATAACGGGACGCTTGTGACTCTGGGCATGCCGGCGCCTCAAGAGCGCGTTTGATAGTAGACTGGTCACGAGTCTAATTTGATGGGGCCAAGCTAAACGTGTAGACGTGAGCATCTGTTCTAATCACCTCCTGTGTTTATCCGAAAGGTAGTGACCTAACACGTGTCCAATGATGGAATTCAATTTACCTTCCAGCATGCAGCTGATCACGGATCTTCTTTCTTTGTAGACCGGGAGTGCTTATTTTGTTATCGACACTCTTGCGCGCTCCGCGCAGAATGATGACTGACCGTTTTCACAGTCGTCAATGGCGTGTATGATTCCACGATAATACATGTTCACAGCCTGCTTCATAGAAGCCGTGAGCCCAAGCCGGGTCAAAGTCGGGGCTTGGGCCCAAGCAGGCAGCGGCCCATGCACTGAATTACTACGATGACGATGCAATGTACATAGATAGATATACATAAATGCGCCTATATGCCGGGAACAATGTAGGTAAGCACAAATTAGCGGCAGCGTGCGGAGACAAGTAAAGCAAGGTGCAAGGATACTGTATACATGATCAGTAATGGTTGTAAATCCAAAAAAAAACTGAAAATCTATGGCGCTGGATCTGTTCAATATGGCGCTGGATCTGTTCAACTATTCTTCACACACAAAACTCACACACACGCACAGATGCGACACACACACAAACAATCGGACGCACACACATAATCACTCCTTTGCATACATACTCTTGTATCGGAGTCCAAGGGGCAAATAAAATGCACCGAAGCCGCCAGCATTGGCAGCAAAGCCTCGAATCTTTTCAAGGCCTGGCCGGTGGACGAGACGGAGCAATGAGAAGTGAGTAGGTCTCAGAGCGATGATGAAGGTTTCTATAAGCGCAAAGCAAGTAGAGTCCAAGGGCAAACAAAATGCACCGAAGTTGCCAGCATTGAGAGCAAAGCCTCGAAACTTTTTAAGGACCGGCTGGTGGACAGTGCGCAAAGATGCAGGTGACATGGCGGGCGCTTGTTGTGGTGCCGCAGTTGATGGTCTCAATACCAAGCGACATCGAGAAGTAGGAGGGCATGAGAGATGGGGCGCTGCATGAGAGAACAAGTGGGAGAGAGTTAGCATGAGAGAACAGGTATGAGAGAACAAGCATGAACGAGCAGTGCAAGAGAGCGAGCACAAACAAAAGAGTTAGAGCGAGCATGAGAATGGGTGCGAGGGACCAGACGTATAGGTCCGTAGACATTGATTAATTCACAAGAGAACAGGTAGGCGCAATAGATAGTAACTGCAGGAGTGCAAGATGCTTCACAGTAAGAATATAGAAAAATGATAAAAAGTCAAAACGTACCTTGAGCCTCAATGTCACCAGCACTGGTCCCTTTCAACTCCCTGGCGAAAACAAAGGACTTGGAGAAAATTGAGCGTACATAGATCTTGTTGAGAAAGTTCCATCTTGGTTTCGTCACCACTGGCATTCTAGATGGTACTGTATGCACAAAAATAGCAGGGACAGCAGTAGGAGACTTGCTTTCAGCATTTCATCCCTGGGCGTTGGTGTTAGCCTCTTGACTACTACACATTGACATCCCGAGGTACTGAAGAACTGCAGTGACTTATAGAAAAAAATAGCAAAGCCTCATCAGGCAGCACAACACTTATGTAATACATAAGATTGAGGCGTAGTTCAGCCAATAATGAGCACTGCCGCATTATTGCCTGCGAGGAGCCACCCATCATTGAGCACTCATGATACTGCACTGACAATACTGCATGTTCCATCAACTGGTATGCGAAGGAGTGATTATGTGTGTGCGTCTCATTTGTGTGTGTGCCGCGTCTGTGCGTGTGTGTGAGTTTTGTGTGTGAAGAATAGTTGAACAGATCCAGCGCCATAAAAATCGAGCCTTAGATTTCACAAGACCATCGGAGCGCAGCCTAAGACACGTTGAGCGTAGATGTGCACAAGCACGTGAATACGAACAAAGTGCAGCGCTGAAAAGTAAAGACGCACACAAGCAGTGATGTACATACAGAGATAAGTGAAAAAAGACGCACCTAGCTTCCACGCGTGCAAACGCAAATGAATCCGGGATGAACAAAAACGTAATCGCCAGGTGCGAATGTATGCAGGACAGTCGAACACAGACAAGTCGCAGGGACAGATGCAGTCAGCAGTTGATCGATAAATCATCCTCAGAGTCACTGAATTAGCGTCTTGAAACCGCCGGCTCCAAGCCGGCTCTGGAGTCCAACCTCGGGCGTCCTTGACGAGCTAGAGTGCATTGAAACTCCGCAATGTACCTTACCACTAGGATTTACTACAGTAAATAGTTCTTGCTATCAGTTATTAGACATCGAAACAACCAATTGCAATACGATACGGTACCAAAGGAATAGTAGTGGGGAATCGGTGAGCTGCAAGTTACTCATGGTAGTAGACTCTGTGAAGATAATATTCGAGCGGGAGCTTCAGGACACGCTAGACAGGTACGATCTCAGTATTCGGTTCACGAATCTCTTTATTGACGAATGTTTTTACCTAGATAGGTACGCTACGTTATACATTAGCTTTCGTACTCAAACATTACACTAGAACACTCACATCTCAGTATTCGGTTCACGAATCTGAGATGCTTCAACGACGACTGGCTGCTTTTATATGGTGAGTGCGCCAGCAGGTCTTTTTGATGAAAACATATACTAAACGAATGAAAAGATTGCCGACGTTGACACGTCATCTGGAATCTCCGTTTGGTGGTGCTCGCACCTCGAGCTGCCTTACTCTTCAGCCGTAGTCCCATTTCCTCCTTTGGTTCCTCCTCTCTCGGCCTTTCCGTCCTCGGGTTCATCGGCTCTCAACACTCCCCCTCGAGCGCTATCCAAACGCATCATGGCTCTCAATCTCTGGAGTCTGGGTTGTGGTAGTGCCTTGGTGAAGGCGTCGGCTACGTTGTCTTTGGTGGGACAATAGAAGAGCTTGAAGACGCCGTTCTTGATGTGCCCTCGGACAAAGTGATATCGTAAGTCGATGTGCTTTGTCCTTGATTGGAACTTCCCGTTCGATGCTAACGCAATGGCTGCTTGATTATCGCAGTGTATGGGGATTGGGAGGTTCGGGGCGTCGTAGAGTTCGGTGATGAGGAGCTGTAGGAAGAGGAGTTCGCGCACCACACTGGTGAGTGCTATATATTCTGCTCCTGCTGTTGACAATGCTATTAACAGTTGTTTCCTCGCACTCCAGGCTATGGGTGTGCTGTTGTACATCATGACGTACCCCGACATTGAATGTCTGTGTGGCTGGGACGCCCAATCGGCATCGACGAAGGCTTCTAGGCCCACGTCAGTTGCTCCTAGGGTAAGCTCCATGTTGTCAGTGGCTTTCAGATAACGTAGGGCCTGTTTTGCAGCCTCCCAATGGGGCCTGCTGGGGTTCCGCATGAACTGCGACAACATTGTGACTGCGAATGCAATATCCGGGTGTGTGCTGGTGGCTGCGTACATCAGCAAGCCAATCGCCCTCTGATATGGTATGTCCTGCATATCTTGGATTTTGGCGTGGGTCATGGGTCCTTGCTCTACTGACAGGGTCGTTGTGGACTCCATTGGAGTCTGCACATTCTTGGCATTGCCCAAATGAAAATGTTCGACGATGGTTGCGACGTACGCCTTTTGAGACAGGGTAATGGTACGTCCCACTCTATCCCTCGTTACCTTCAGCCCTAACAGCCACTTTAGTTCTCCCAGGTCTGATATCTCAAAATATCGCTGGAGTTCGGCCTTGAACTGGTGGATATGGGCTGCGTCATTCGACGTCACGGCCATGTTGTCCACGGACACCGTGATGACGGTATGCTGGTTGGAGGTATGTTTGTAATATACGGCTTGATCGACCTTGGACCTGCTGAACCCCAGCGTTAGGAATACACCCGATAGTTCTTCGGCCCACTTGAATCCTGCCTGCTTCAGGCCAGGCAAACTCCTCCTCAGCCTCAACACCTTTCCATGCTGGTCCTCCTTCAAGTAGCCGGGCGGGGCGTGCATGTATATTTCCTCCTGGATGCTAGCGTACAGGTAAGCACTTTTGATATCTACCTGGTGTATCTCCCAGTTTCGCTGAGCCGCCATCGCTAGGACCATCTGGATTGTTATCATACTGGCTGTGGGGGTGAAGGTGTCGAAGTAGTTGACACTGAGCTTCTGCCTCTGCCCGTTCGCCATGAGTTGGGCACGCAACTTCAGCTTCTTGCCATCCGGTCCGCATTTAGTGGCCAGGACGTAATGGCACGGTATGATGTTGGCGCCTCGAGGTGGGTCCACTACCTCCCACGTACCTAGCTTCTCCAACTGACTTATCTCATAGTCCACCGCCTCCTGCCATTCAATGGCATCTGGACCGTTTAAGGCTTGCTGTAGGGTGGGTTCTGGCTCTGCTGCAGCCATGGCAAGGTGAAGATAGTTTTCTTCATCCATTAGGTCTACCTCTGACGCCTCCAACAGATTCTCCATTGTTAGGGCAGCCATCTGGCCCTTGTTTAGCGCTGCATAGTATCTGGGGGGTGGTCTTGCCCTCATTGACCTCGTTGGAGGAGTAGATGGTTGAGGTTGTTGAGGAGTAGAAGGTTGAGGTTGCTGTGGAGTAGAAGGTTGAGGTTGCTGAGGAGTAGAAGGTTGAGGTTGCTGTGGCATGGTGATGGGCTGGACGCTACTAGGTGAGCTATTATTACCGTTGCCACTGCTATGTTCATTAACAGCAGTAGACTCCCCCTCGTCCGGCACACCATCGGCTGCTAGGATCGGCCTGAAGGTGACATTCCTTTCGACCGTGACTCGACGCCTCCCGGGCCAGTATACCCGGTATCCCTTACTCTCAGCGTCTACCCCCATGAAGACTGCTTCTTCTGCCCTCGCCTCCAGCTTACCGGCCTCTAACACATGGACGAAGACCGTCGTCCCAAATTCATGGGCACGCGACAAGTCCAGCTTGGACTTGTGCACCATCTCATAGGGTGTGCTACCTGGGATGGCTCTTGAAGGTAGGCGGTTCTTGAGCCATGTGGCATAACTAACGGCCTCTGCCCACAGATACTTTGGCATGTTCTTGCCCAGGAGCATCGCTCTCGCGTGCTCGACCAGGGTGCGATTGAGGTGTTCAGCAACGCCATTCTGTTGGGGTGAGTTGTGCACCGTTAGCTGCCGTTCGATACCTTGCTGACGCAAGTATTGGTCGAACTCGGCGCTCAGATACTCTCCTCCTCTGTCCGAACGGACTTTTCGCACACGGACACCTGGCGACTGACATGTCACCCATGCCTCGTAGGACTTGAACGCGGTAAGTGCGTCACTCTTTTGCTTGAGGAACTCGAGTTGCGTCTGCCAGCTGAAGTCGTCCATGAAACTGACATAATATTTACAGCCGCCTCATCAGGTAATCAACTTGAGTTTGACAAAGATTTAGCTAGCTTTATTTAATGTATAATATTGAAAATATATATCACAATTGTAGATCATATGATAAATCAATAGATAGGCAGCTTACATTGGTGAAATCTCCCAAAGCCACAATATTGACAGACCTATGGTACAAAATTGTGATTTACTAGCACACTGGTGTATTGTTGGAAGATGTGTCTATTATTGCATGGCTAGCTTCCAATGGCAGAACATGTAATCATCAACAGTGTGCTTGACAATGATATTGACCTAACAAAGTGTTAGGCTATGATCTTGACTTATGATACCTTATCAAGATGCCAGTTTTCAGCCAGATATGTCTGGCTTTGGATAGGCAGCTTCTGATTGCAGAAGCCACCATTGATGACAGTGTGCCCTGGAGCGATATTAGGTTATCGTGTCATATAAAGCATGTCTACCATTATAGGGGCGGGCTGTGATGTTAGAAGCCACCGCTGATGACAAAGTGTTAGGCCACGATCTTGGCTTATGATACCACATCAAGATGCTGTTTTTCAGCCAGATATGTCTGGCTTTGGATAGGCAGCTTCTGATTGCAGAAGCCACCATTGATGACAGTGTGCCCTGGAGCGATATTAGATTATCGTGTCATATAAAGCATGTCTGCCATTATAGGGGCGGGCTGTGATGTTAGAAGCCACCGCTGATGACAAAGTGTTAGGCCACGATCTTGGCTTATGATACCTTATCAAGATGCCAGTTTTCAGCCAGATATGTCTGGCTTTGGATAGGCAGCTTCTGATTGCAGAAGCCACCATTGATGACAGTGTGCCCTGGAGCGATATTAGGTTATCGTGTCATATAAAGCATGTCTACCATTATAGGGGCGGGCTGTGATGTTAGAAGCCACCGCTGATGACAAAGTGTTAGGCCACGATCTTGACTTATGATACCTTATCAAGATGTCAGTATATGGCACCAGGCTATCATATCGCAGCAAGGTGCTGATTATCTATCCATTATGTCTGGCTTTACAATCACTGACAGTGTGCCAGCACATGATATTGTGTTATCATGCTATAACAAATTGTTGATCTTATATTAGGCACAACTACTGTTACATGGGTGACTTCCAGTGGCAGGTTCTGTAATCACTCACAGTGTGCCAGGACATGCTATTGTCTTACATTAGGCTATCAAGCTGAGGATTTTCTGTCAAGCATGTCTACTGTTACAGGGGGAGCTTCTGACGCCAGAAAATCTCATGAAGAAGGCTTCTAATGCTCAGTTTTCTTACTGCATTAATTCAGGGGTGTTTTAGTCACATAGCAAGTATACATCAATTACATTACAAAATAATACAGTTACAAAACAGTAAATAACTAATTGATCTCGGCAGCGGCTAGTTCTCGCAAGGCAGCACGTTTTTCCCGAATCTTGGCCAGCGCGCTGTTTTTGCTGATACTGCGCTGAGAGGAAGAAGAATTAGGAAATACCCGACTATGAAAGGTGTGAATTTAGACAGCTTAGAGGTGAAAAGGTGCATTACGAACCGTGTCCACCACGTCATCAGGTCATTAACCTCCTCAATTTCGTCAGGATCCTCTAGTAAATCCAGAATGCTATGATAAAAATTTTCCGAGTCCGTGACTGTGTCGGTATGGGAAAATACTGATGATGAACTTAAGGCAAACCGAATCTGAAGATAAAATCAGCCGCAGAAGGCATGCACAATTAATTTGCGTACCTGTGTAGCAACATAAGCTAGAGAGCCTTTAGTGACAGATTTCATACCATGCAGGTAAGCGTTGCCGGAGCGCGTAGCCTTGGGCTCCTTATCCACCAAGCTCGGAGACGTAAAAACATGTTTGAACCCCTATATCGCTTGAAGTAAGAAATTCATCAGCGATTTGAAACGAGCTTACAAAAGTTAGTATCTCGCTCCTGAGTAAGCCCTTCCATGGATCATCGGGATCATAGTGGTACCCAGAGTATAAGAACATGGGCCATTGGTCACCGCTAACTGCGGTTTCACCGCTCTTCAAACTCTGTTTGGTTCTGAGGAGCGTTATAATAGACAATTGATATAATGGTGGAAATACTTACTCTACGTCTGACCAGTCAAGGCCGGCGGGGCAGAGCAACCTACCGGTAACTTCATGATTGAACCCACAGTCCGATTTGATATTCCGGGAGAGGGGCAGTATAAGTGGCTGTCCTCTGGGCATAAGCCATTCCAGGGCAGCAGATTTAAGGGTCTTGGTATTGTCACCTCGCGCACCAGATGCTCCTTTACCTAGCTGCAAACGATGAGTACGAAGATATTGTAGAATGAAAACTTACTAATTCTCCCACGTGAATAATATCCTCCTCCTCGCCGTCCGTTAGACGAGCTAAAAGACCAGGATAGGAATCTATTAATTCTACGAACACCCTATGTTCACGTCGGACACTACATTAAAAAAATTGATGTCCTTGTAACAGATAAAGATCAAATTGAACTCACTCTGCTGGATAATCCTCGATGAGGGTGTCCTGTAATTCTTCAAGTCGTAGTATACCGGCAGTCAGAAGAACAGGGAAATTACAAAGGGCAAATACAGTCCGACCAAAGTGTCGGCCGTGAAGTACCAGGGGATTTGATGAATTGCTGATGAAGACCGAGTCAGTATGTCAGTGGGTTACCGCTTAAAAGAACACTTGCGCCTTTTTACGCGGGCCCGTGTGTAGCGCCGAAGCACTACGCTTACGCGTAGAATTTCCGGGAGAAGGATTGTTCTCGTCACCACTCATGAATTGAAGGTAGGTTGGCTCTGAAAATCGGCAGTGAACGAGGGCCTTTATATACCCAAACATATATGCCATCAATATGTATATATTAACCTCGCCATCCTGTTTTTTTCAAACAAAGCCCTCGCCATCCGAGCGCCATAGATGTCGTAATCTATGGCAAACGACAGGGCTTAAACGAGCCTTCGAAGTACGTAAAAAAGAGGATGGCGCAACTTCACGCGCCATCGTTGTGATAAAGATATATTTATAGAAGTGCAACTGCTATTGCAGCTTTTGAACCTCCTCCAATGCCCAGTTCACCCCTTCAAGAGAATTTGCGACGATGCGTCCATGTTGGAAGCGATATCACACTAAAGTAAGCTTTTCAGTATGTACACGAGATGCAAACCCATGAAGTTACCTCGAGGTTCCAATTTTCTCCGCTGCATACACTGCGAAACACAGAGGGAGATGGGCTGCGTGGAATTGAGTGAGTAATGAAGCGTTATAGAAAACAACTCAAAACCAACGTTACTACAGGCAACTCCTTGGAGGAACAAAAAGATTGATTGATTCAGAAACTCAGACGATAGGTGAGATTTCACAATTGAATTGTGAAACCGTATGGTGGGTCTGAAAAACATGGCCTAGGTACTGACGAAGAATCCATAAGCGGATTAGAATCTGAGCTGCGCCGTGTCAAGGAACAACTAGAGAACGCGGAAATTCACATTACTTACCTTTCGGAACGGGTGGGGACATACAGGTGTAAATGGCTGGAAGATTACTACCGTGCCGAGAACCTCGAGCGTTGCATGCCTGATTCCGTCATTGTGCCCAACCTAGGTCAGATTCCAGAAGGTGCGGCTTCTCCTGCCTTCTGTCCAGAACTCTTCGGTTTGGAGGAGGAAGGCTCAGAACTGAGAGCGTCGTTGTGATCTACAAGGGCACACCTGCACGGACGTATGTAATATCTATGTCAAAATCAAAATTGGGTTGCATAACGAAGGATACGCTTACGATTTCTATGTCAAACGGGTGATGATCTCAGGGGCTAGGCGCCGAGCCTGTATACCACACTTTATTCACTACAATATACGAACTATGATTGATATCAGTGCCCGAACGTTAGATCTCAAGGACAAAGTAAACATCGACTTAAGGACGACAACATCTACAATGTATGAACATATAATAAAGTAATTTAAATAATTGAAGACGTAGTAGAGTGAGGCTTAAGGCAATACGATTATGACAGTATAGTAAGGGATAACGCATTCCGTTATGTTGAGACAGACATTGGGGAAAAAGAGTTAAGTTCAAGCAAGGAACGCCCTGATATAGTGAACGACTATTTGTTCAAACTCAGCCGGCAATGCCCGCAACAATGAATTCGAATATACGGTGGATCGGGAATTGCCGGCTGGGTCTGAATATCGAATCATTCACTTTATGTACCGTGTGTGCGTACCAATTGTCTTCTTTCCGTTTGCCAACATAGTAATCATTAGGGTTAAGTAGTATACGTACCTACTTTACACTTAGCTTGAATGTGATTTTGTAGGGTAGTATTTGTGGTCTGTGCGCACCTCACAATAGTTGATGCCTACGCCCACCGGTCCACAATGTCGGGTGACCACCGTGACATAAGACAATGCAGCATCATGATCCACAACCACAACTGACCACGATTAATTCGTACCACCATCTGTAAGTATTAGCTAATCCAAATAGTGATTCACTATATATACCGACCTTGCGCATTAACAGGTTCTCTTTTTCCTATCACAACCTCGAACACACTTAGTATTAGCACGATAGTTCGTATATACAAATAACGTAGACTATCACCAGTAACAGTATGTCATGTTAACGTTCAAGTTTGCTGTAACTCTAAGTTGACGTACCTTATACTAGAATGTCCAAACGCGCCGGATCTGATGGCGATGAACCGCCCTCAAAGCGTCACTGCTCGATTGACGTCCAAGGTAAGTCGTCTTCGGTATAGTTAATATTCGAGTTATTCATGAGTACGATACAGCGAACCAGGCAGTACCACCGGCACTGTATGATAACGGTGCATGGGAAATCCTTGCCAAATTCCTCACCACATCAATGTCTCTATCCGAGGTAGACGACGCACACATAGCGCACCTCGGTGACTGATACTTAGCAGATGAATGGGCAGAGCCTCGACGCCTGCTCTTCTCCGGTGACGAAGATAACGCCAAATCCTTAGAAAACTTCACCAAGCTGTGGAAAATTCACATACCCAATCCACCAGAAAAGTCTTCCGTTTCTATCCCTGCATCGAGGAGGAACGGCTACTCGTCAAGTTCACGTGCTCAAAAATCGCGCAAGTTATCCAAAGTATGTGAATGTCCTGGCTGAAACATTTATAAATTGAACGATAAATTCAGGCTGCTTCTAAGTTCATCGCTGATAAGGCCGATGTTGGTGATGATGAAGAGGAGGAAGAGGAGTATGATGGAGAAGATTGGGACGGACCTTCTACGCAGTCGCCGATAGTCACAAGTTTGCCAGGAACGTCGGCGAAACGGAGGTTGGCAGCAACCTTTGACGACATGGCGACTCGGTTCGAACAACATTTGCCCAGCTCATCTGAAGACAATCTCGCCTACAGAAGTCCCGAAAGCAGGATGTATTTACCTCATGTTCAAAGTGGGTTTTTTGTTCTGTTTCTTTTTCAAAAAGACGTATATATCACTCATTGTGTCGTAGGGACTACCACTCAATATGTTGCTGACCACCTTCGGAGGAAGGAATTTCCCGTGATCGTGTCAGCCTGGTCAGCAGGACAGCTTTACGTGGTGGCGGATAGCCCCGCGACGATTGCAAAGTCCTTGCCCCTATCTCTTTATCTCGCCGTGAAAGAGTACTCCCGTATTGCCGAGGAAGAACGCGAAGCGGTAGAACGCACGCAGTCCGAGTTTCCTCAACAAGCATGGGTGAGGATCAAGGGCAGTAAGTACAGGGGCGACATCGCACAAGTTTTCGAGCAACTGCCGAATGGTCTGGTCGCAGTCTTAATTGTTGCGCGCGATTTCCCCTATTCCATGCCTTCAGGATCTCGAGCGCTTATCCAGCAATCTCTCCTTCCGAACCAGAAGAGCGTTTCCGACATCATTCGCGATGACGAAGTCGTGGGATGGAAATACAAGGGAGAAAGCTACTACATGGGCCTGCTGCTCAAGAACTTTCACCGCGACAGACTAGAACTCGTCGCATCCCCTCATGTCGACGACATTCGGCTACACCTGGACGCCGGATGGAATCAACTGTTTTTGAACGAAACTGTGGTCGCGTTTTCGCTGCAGTTCCTGCGCGTGGGCGATTGGGCGAGAGTCGTCAAAGGCTCTCTTCGTGGAGAGCTTGGTCAGGTCGTCTCAACTGATCATACTTTGGGGACCCTAAGTTTGCAATCGGCTTTTGATGGGCGTCTCAAGGAGATGGAAGTTCGACTCAAAGACATCGAACGGATCTTTTGAGTCGGCGATACTGTAAGAGTGGTGGCTGGTTCATACTTGGGCTTGGAAGGCCATATCGTTCCAATATGCGGTGACACGTTTCACCTTTGTCAACATGCTACCAACGAGCAGGTATATCTCTGGTATAATTTTATTTCAACCGTCTAACACTTAGTGCACAGGTGGAAGTGTCTAAGTACTACTTAGATCAACGTCCGTTGAACCACACGGTGCACTCACGGTTCCCAATGCAGCAAGATTTCGAACCTTCCGAGTTGGACTCCATTCAAATAGGAGATTTCATAGAAGTCTTGGACGGTGAGCACATGGGGAAGCGCGGAGTCGTGGACTGGCTTGCTAAGGGGGACAACAAACTATGGTTCCGGGATATTTTGAGTACGGAAAGCATCGAGTCCAGTGGTGGATTGTCAAGTCTCTCGGTTCCCATAGCAATAGTTCAGCGGACGGACCTGACTGCAACAATTCAATACACTGAAGGAAAGGGGTTATGACGTCAGACCTGGAGACATCGTGACTGTCGTCCGTGGGCCCGAGTATGAAGCGAAAGGCGTTGTGCAAAGCGTAGACTTTCCAAACGCTCACTTGTCCGTGCTGTGCGACGGTGATCACACGCTGGTAAGTATCATCATCTTTACTGAAGCATATCTGACATTATGATAGATCAATGTTCCAATTGGATTCAGTTATGAAAGTGCGCAACGCCACCTTGGACTCTTTCAAGAAGGATATTGGTCAAGAAGTTTTCATCATTGGAGGTGGCCATAAGGGCTATCAAGCCACACTCTATAGTCTTGGCATCGAGGCTTGCACTGTCGCTATTCATGGGCAGAAGCGTATCACAGTCAAACTTTGCGATGTTGTTACCAAGTGAGTAGCACTCATATTTCTATTTCTACAGCGATTCAAATATTTGCGACTTTAGGTATGGAATGCGGCTAAACGGGGCGATGCTTGAAGGCCCGGAGTTGATTTCGTTCTGCGTCATGCGGAAAAAATCGTACTTGGCACCGCCATGTCGGAGCACCACACCACCTTACGAAAAAATCCCCTCCAGCTCCTCGACTTCCATCACGGAACCCATTCCCTCGTCATCTGGTGTGTGGTCCACCTGGTCTGCAAGCTTGGGTGATGCTGATGTGACTCAAGATCCTTCGTTGAGCGTTAATCCAAACACATCAACATCCGACCCGTGGACTGTTGATAAACTCGATACTCAAGACAATATTGACGTCGGAGCAGAGAAACTCTCAGACAGCGGTGAGTGCCAAAAGGAGCCATTGCAGGCTTTGCTTATTCTATTACAGGCCCGCTAGCTTGGTTGATGACCAAGGAGTTTTTTTCGACGTTTTTCAACCATCACGCAATGTTAAAGGTCTCACCGATCTTTGATGCATCGCTGTCCAAGCGATTTGTATCTACGCCTTGTCCTGACCCATTCTGTGGCGAGAATGGACCCGCACCGGAGGGATGCGTTGCAGCATACTGCACATCCAACAATGCGGGCGCAAAAATGAAACACTATCACATTCCCGCCATGTATCTGAGCCCTGCCCCTCCACGTAAGAAGAATCAGAAGTGTCTTATTCTGGCCGGGGCTCATCGCGGGCTGGTCGGAACCGTCACGAAATGTAGCATCAAGAACAATCTTGCTGATATTAGTATCACCCCTACAATTACTGTAACTCTACGTTTCGATGAGATGTGTTTGGTAGAACCGATGGAATAAAATAGAATGTGTACAATACTTACCGCATATACCATATGAGATCTGATACCTTTACCCACCGTTAATCTTGTGGACACAAGCTTGATGTACTTTACCATGTATGCATTGTCAATTTTTTCTTCAACCAGCATCGGAATATAGTCCATTGATTTCTGGAATTAAACTACACCATGTAATACGGTACAAATGTAACAATAGTATGTGTGCCAAGATACCATCATTCTGAAGTCTGACTCGGAAGTAACTGAAATTCAGTCCTGCAATTGTAACCTATCTTTTCATAGGTGCGACAGTGTATGATATCAGGATCAAGGAAGGGGGGCCGCGGGGCCTGTTGAACTGTTAATAGGGGTAGATAGGATCATAAATAGAACTTAGCTCGCGAAATTTACGCCTGGGCGCACCATATCGGGCGAGGTCGCGCCACGTGACTCACGTGACGCGCGAACCTCGTCCCGTTTTGGGACAGTGGGATTTCCCCCCCTGTGTCACCATAAACATTACTTATTAGTAACAGTGACGCTATCGGATGTTTGCTACTAACTAGGGGCGAGAGCCTGTGCTGTAGTACTTTACACCTGAGGCAGGACGGAATCTGTCTGCAGGACAGATTGGTATCATATCCACAGAAATATTTTACATTGGTGATGGAATCTGTACTGCAGTAGTATTGAATATCAAATTTTACACATGTTTGTGATATGACATTTAGGCAAATTGGGGGAAAATGTCCTAAATCTAATGGTGTCTCATATCTAATCTATGCATATTGATACTATGTGTCCAATCAGAGAGAGAAAAGGAATTGTAATACTGGCAGTTGAGAAGTACGGTGTGATCTGATAAAGAGAATGTTCTTGAAAGGTACTAGTATTGAATATGTGGGCAAAAGCCCACAGGGCTTTCTGGACCGAAACACCAGACCCGATCCTGGGAGAAAAGATGAGCTGTGAATCACATAAAATTAGGAGGTCTACGATGCAAACATCAAAGCTTATGGCCCGTACTAGTGTAAGTTTTGTTTGAAGTTGCGATGTGCAGGAACAAACAGAAGGCTAGATAAAATGAGTGTATACTCAGTCGTGTACTCGTAGTGTAGCAGACTAATACTAACCTAGATAAAACGAGTGTATACTAGTGAAGTTAGTAAAGGAATAAACTATAGTAATGAATGTCTTACCTCAGTCGCGTACTCATAGTGTAGCAGACTGAGGTGTGAGTAACTCTAATGTGACTATGTACTTGCGTGATTAGGTAAGCTGGTACTCAACATACCAATAAACAAACTATTAACAACACGCCCACTCGGCGAGTTATCAGCTATCAACACACTCCCATTCCTCCCGTAAACTGATCGTGCTTCTCTCGTCCAAGGGCCTTTGTCAAAACATTGGCGACTTGCCAGTTCGTCGGCACATACTTCAACTCGATCTCACCATTGTCAACTTTCTCTGCGGATGAAATGATAACGGATCGCAATGTGTTTCGTGCGGCTGTGGAAAACGGTGTTCTTTGCGAGTGAGATAGCGGATTGGTTGTCGATTAGGAGGTGGATTCTTTGGGTTGGGAGTATTCGGATTTCACTTAGAAAAGTACACATCCATATCACTTCTCTCGTTGCTGATGCTGCGGCCATGTATTCAGCTTCTGTGCTTGAAAGAGCAACAGAGTCCTGTTTCTTCGACGACCAACTCACAGCTCCGCCTGCCATTACGAATGCATACCCAGTGATGGACCTTCGATCATTCACGTCTGAGGCCCAATCCGCGTCAACATATCCGATGGGAGTAGCGCTGTCTTTTCCTCGAAAGGTGAGTCATTTGTCTGCCGTTTTGCGCAGATAACGATAGACACGCATCAGTGCTGTCCAATGTTCTGGTGTGGGCTTTGCTGAGTGTTTGCTCAGTGCGCCCACTGAATATGCGAGGTCTGGATGTGTCGCAAGCATCGCGTACATCAAGGCTCCAAGCGCGCTTTGGTAAGTCCTTGTTTCCATCTCTGGATCTTCGGCCTTGACTAGCTTGGTATTAGGATCCATTGGTGTTGCTATGGGCCTCGCATCTTGCATTCCGAAATGTTCGAGGATCGTTTCAACGTATCACTTTTGCGATAGATGACTCGGAATTGTTTTCTCCTTTCGGTCCCTAAGGATTTCCATGCCCAGAATCCATCGCACTTCTCCAAGGTCTGTTAGATCGTACTCGTCTTTCAACTCCTTCTTCAGCTGATTTATGAGTTTCAGATCGTTTGAAAAAATCATCTTATCGTCGACATATACTGCAACTATGACGAATTTTTCGTCCTTGACCTTGTAGAATATGCTGTGCTCGGATTCGCATCATGTATAGCCGAGTCCCTCGAATACGGTCCGGAGTCGTTTGTACCAGGCCATGTGCGCCTGTTTCAGACCATATAACGCTCATTTGAGCTTCCAGACTCAGTCCTGTGAGTCACAAGAACCTGGGGGCATCTCTAGGTATATCTCCTCGTCTAGCTCACCATTAAGGAATGCTGACTTTACGTCCATCTGATGGATTTCTAGATTGAGTTTTGCTGCTAGTGCTAGGAGAATCCGGATGGTCGAAAACTTTGTGACTGGTGCAAAAGTTTCAGTATAGTCGATTCCTTCAACTTGGGTAAAGCCTTTAGCAACCAACCGGGCCTTGTATTTGTCTATTTTGCCGGTAGGTCCCCGTTTGACCTTGTATACCCACTTAGAATCAACAACTTTCTGTCCCTTCGGTCTCTCAACTTCCTCGTATAGGCCAATCTTCTGGAAGACTCTCAGTTCTTCTAGCATGGCGGCTTGCCATAGGTCTGCATCCGGCCGGTTCACTGATTCTTCAAATGTCTTAGGATCTTCGGCCATCTCCACATGGTAAGCACGTTCTTCATCCACAAGCTCCTTCTCACTCTCATACTCATCCACGACAGCACCCTTTTCTTCTTCATTCTTGATGGTGTCTTCTTGGTGAGTTTTGAGTGTTGGTTTCTCATATGCATTGACGAAGTAACGAGGATCATCGTCAGGGACTGGTTTCTTTCATATGCGGTTCGATCGTCTGGCTTCGCGTGGGGGAACAGGGTGTGGATATGGAACTGGAGGACCTGCTGTCATCGTGCGACGTCTTGTTGAGGTGCGTCGCGGTTGCTGAGAACTAGTTTCAATCTGACTAGTTGTAGGGACCACCGGTTCCTCAAAGTCTTGTGGGGTGTCTTCGTTCTCTACATCTGCAACCTCCTCGATGTGCATTTTTCCTGTTTCATTTGAATCTGGATGTGCTGGTAGGGTATTTGGCTTTGATTGTGTTTGCTGTTGACTGACTTGGCGATTTTCAGTATCATCAACAGTTATCTTCACTCGGCTTGACCCTCCACAGTCCCCTTCATCAAACACTACATCCCTAGACTCCAATATTCGCCCATTTGACCTCTGCAGGCAGACATATGCCTTTCGATGCTTGGCATATCCTAGATGAACACACTCGATGGACTTTGCATCGAGCTTTTGGCGTCGTTCGTCCGGTACATGCACATATGCTTTGCATCCAAACGTCCTCAAGTGTGCTACTGAAGGTTTATTTCCAGTATATGCTTCAAAAGGTGTGATATCCCTTTTCAATGCACGTGTGGGGACTCGATTGATGATGTGGGCTACATGTAGAATTGCATCTCCCCAATACTTCTTTTGGAGGGAGGCATCGCTGAGCAACGCACGTGCGGACTCGACTAGTGTCCTGTTCATTCGTTCGGCGACTCCATTTTCCTGAGGTGTGTAGGTGTTTGTCTTCTCATGATGGATCCCTTTTGACTCTAGATATTTTAGAAATTCCTTCAAACCATATTCTCCACCACCATCGCTACGGAATATGTTTGCACGTTCGTCTGTTTCGGTCTCTGCTCGTTCGAAGTACAATTTCATAAGTCCAAATGCTTCATCTTTTGTCTTTAGTAACTTGACAACTAGATGGTGCGAGCAGGCATCAATAAATGTCATGAAGTACCGGTATCCACCTCGGGAGGTCGTTTCCATGGGTCTGCATATGTCTGAATATGTTCTGTGCAGAATACGAGGATTCTCAACTTGGGACTTGTCTGGGATAGGTTTGCGGGATTGTTTCCCTTCGAGGCAGGCCTTGCATACATCTGTTTCGTGAGCTGTTGACCCTGAAACTTCCATGCCTCTAACCATATCCTTCCCATACAGCTTCTTCACAGAATTTAGATTGGTATGTGCGAGTTGATGATGCCAAGTCTCCATGGATGCCTTCGATGAGTATGAGCAGGCTGTGAGTGCTCTAATCGGTTCTATGGCGTCTAATAGCTGACTTGGACCTTGAATGATATAGGCTCTCTCGCTGCTGCAAGTCCGTCCTCTCAATATGTATAAGGACTGTTGCCGTGTCGCTAGTGCCGCTATGGACCCGTTTCGAGTGATTGTGCAGGTACGTTGGTCAAAGCTTGCTTCAAAGCCTTTGCTTGTCAACCGTGGCACTGACAACAAGTTTCCATCTAGAGCAGGGACATAATACACCTCCTGCAGTATGGTTCGGTGCATATTCCCTTTTCCAACTTCAACCTCAAGCTCAATGCTACCAAGTCCTGTAGCTTTGATGGACCTTCTGTCTCCAATGACGACTCGCTGTGCTGGGACTATTGGACGAAATGTCCTGAACCAATCTCGGCAGCACGACATACTTGCTGAAGCACCAGAATTGATGATCCATTCCATGGAGTTAGGTTCGTCTTTAGAGTCATGTGCAACAAACAGTTGCAATGCTGGTGCGTCTTCTTCGACTACAGCTGCTACTTTTGCTGATAACTCTGTCTTTGGCTTATCTTGTTTGTCGTCCTTGGCTTTGCTGGGTCCTTTAGCCTTTTCAGCCTGTTTCTTGCGACAATCTCTCTCCCAGTGGCCTGGCTTCTTGCAATAGTTGCAGTTGCCAGGTTTCTTCTTCTTATCCATTTTCGAACTCTCTTTCGACCTGTCTGAGGTCTTGGCTACAAGAGCTGTTTGAGAATCTGGACCTCGACGCGACTTCTCCTCGACCAGGATCTGGCTGATAGTACCTTCGATTGTGATCTTGTCATTTGTTGACATGAGAATTGTTCGGAGAGTTGAGTAGGAAGGAGGAAGTGATATGACCATAGCAATGGCTACTAGAGAGTCTTCGAGAGCTTGGCCGAATGAGTTCAGTACTTGTGCCTTCTGTCACATTGAATTGAGCTGAGGTTCTAGGGGTGACTCGTCTGACAGAGTTCCTTGAAACAATTCGCCTATCAGGTAGGCTATGCTTTGTTTGCCCTTTCCCTCATATCGTTCGCACAATTTTGTCCAGGCATCAGATGCCAATGTTGTGTGTAGGACTCCATTTAGCGGTTTGTCCTTCAGCGTGAGTGTGATCTGTGCATGTGCATCCTCGTTTTTTTCTAACCATTCGTTTAGTGCATCTGGGTCTGTGGCAGGGGGCTGCACCTCCACTCCAGTAACTAACTCCCAAAGTCTCCTCACTGTGAGTACTTTCTTCGCTCGAAACTTCCAATTCTGAAAGTTAGAGCCATCATTCTCTAGTGACAGATTTGTCATAGAGTCGATTTGAAGCTTGAATTACTTTCTTCGAACTAGATGCTGACGAGGCAGTGAGTTGTGTTTGTGAATGTTGGGCTTGCGAGATTGACGGATTGTTGGACATTGTGTAGAGGGTAGGAAGTTGTCACTACTAGGCTATTTGTGTGCTTGAATATGAAGTAGGGCTCATAACCTTTTGTTTGAAGTTGCGACGTGCGGGAACAAACGGAAGGCTAGATAAAATGAGTGTATACTCAGTTGCGTACTCGTAGTGTAGCAGACTAATACTAACCTAGATAAAATGAGTGTATACTAGTGAAGTTAGTAAAGGAATAAACTATAGTAATGAATGTCTTACCTCAGTCGCGTACTCATAGTGTAGCAGACTGAGGTGTGAGTAACTCTAATGTGACTATGTACTTGCGTGATTAGGTAAGCTGGTACTCAACGTACCAATAAACAAACTATTAACAACAGTAAGGATGTGGACTTACTCCGAGTTTTGAAATTATCTCACTGGGGGCATCACGATGCAAGTGAATGGCTTGAGGGATGTGTTTGCTTGGATATACAGTGCTAGCACTTTGGTGTGATCACAAAGGTACTGTGTGAACGCGTCGCTTGACCAGTGACCCATCATTTTGACTACTTTAAATGGGACCCTGCAAAGGAGATATTCTAGGGTCCCTCCGATGTGAATACTGTGTCCTTTGAGATTAGGTAGGTTGGTGACTGCTGAAATGGATGATATGTGTTTGGCGAGCTCTGTTTTGGATAGCACATGCATGTAGTGTTGCCGCAGTTCTGGCTTATTCCAGCTTTAGCTGTGGGTGCAGCCACATCAAGCTGGACCATGTACCTAGTTGTGGCTTATGTAATTAGTGGCCTTGTCTGGTCCATGGAGCTACATTTGTGGTCTCTCGGCCAGCTTAAGCCAGCTTTAAGATTAAAATACAAACATTTGCCCTTGACTTAGGGTCAAAGTCCCAAAAGGATGTATTTGCGAGACAACATGATTCCTAGAATTTCCTACCTACCTACTCTACTGATCACCACTGAACATACCTAATACCTATCGGATATCGACGATCAACATTGATTACGAATTGAGATGGGTCTGCAAAATAACGTAAGTTGTTGTCATTGTATCTGATGTCCAGGAAGCTAAGTCGAGATAGTTGTACTGCAGTCCCGTGAGTGCTTGCAAGGTTGAAGCAGCGCAAGCGGAGGTTAGAAGGAAAGCAAGCAGATTACAAAGGCAAATGGAGGCTAGGGCAAGGGCACAAGCTGATGTTGTGGAGACTCTAGAGACTTTGTAGGATGTTGAAGAGACGGCATGATGTGGTGAAGGAGGAAGGGGGGAGTACAGCTGGAGAAGGATGCACTCAGAAAGATATCTAATAGGAAGATTAGTTACCGGCTACATGTGTATAATGATACAAACAATTTGCACACCATTCACACACCCTTAATGTCATACTTTTGCACAAGCATGGAGCCGTTGACACGGATAAAGGTGGCATCTGTACGATTGGCGCTTGTCA